AGGGGGTTCTGTGGCTCAGGGTTCTTTGTCCCCCAAGATCTTGTAGAGGTCAGCAAGATAGCACTGGCCACTCATATGAATAAACAGGTCTCTCTGCCCATTTAACTCCTAGAACCAGCTAAGCAAAGAAAACCGAAATTTAAATTTGTAAAACAAAAAATTAAAGATGGAGTTATCTCAGTAGGGGGTCTTGTATGGTTGGGATTTTTATTGATTAAAGAGTAAAATAAGAGATATTGCTAAAGGGGAAAATTATAAAAAAGAAAAGCAAGGCCTCACGTTTGGTTTAATTTTCTTTCTTTTAAATAATTTGAGCCTTAGCTTATCAGAGCCAGGCTGTGGGCAGCTCAGTGGTGCTGGAGCTCACCCTTGGCCCTACTCCCCTCTCCTCACCATGGGTTATTTCCCATAGCAATCATGCTAGAGAAGCGATGTTTTTAAATTACTTTCATCAATTAGCAAGCTATAAGAAAAGAGATACCATCCACTTCGTAAATGAAAACGGTTTCCAACTTGGTAAAAGCCATTTCAGAACTCTTCATGAAGCGATGGTCGATGGAGGAGAGAGGGAGCCATTTTTTGGCAAAACCTCACCAAGCCGTAGCCCTTTCCGGGATGGGCTTGATGCAGAGACCGCTGTCTGGCATCACACCTAGCCTTATCAGCTGGTGCAGGCGGCTCTGTTCATTGACCACGGGGTTCTACCCTTGTGAGCGTCCCAGAATAGCTGTGGCTACCTGAGAGCAATCCAGTCCTCAGGGACTCATTATTGTCCCAGATAAACAGCGTGGCCGAAGCCAGCACGTAATAGCTGTATTTAACCGTGATAAGTGATGGGCCGATGTGCCCGAGTGGCATCACGGGCAGGGCTGGGGTAACTGGACAAAGGCAAGCCGGCCTGGCAGCGGGCATCTCTTGTACATCATAGGGTTGATGCCACAGGATTTTGGACTCTGGGGAATAAATATGATGGACCTGGAGAGCTTGCCTTCTAGACAGGTAAGACAGGACAGACCTACTGGATTTTGATTATGCTAATGACAGAGGTATTTGAGGAAGCAAAGAAGAATAAAAGTTCAGAAAACAGATTAGATTAATGAAGGCAGGCTGCCTGCTGGAGGTGGAATCTTGTGCCATGGAGGGACTATGATGGGATGTAGAATAAGACAGACATTTTCTTTGGATACACATTTACTTTTGGGAATGGTTGCCTGGAAATTATAAAATTTCCTTTTAAATGCAACCCGCATACATCTTAGGCTGTAAAGGTCAGAGAAGAAAAGGTGAGGATGATGGTATGTTGACAGTATCAACACTGAAAGAAGTTATTAGTACTCAGGCCTATTTTTGTTCTCTATGACACTCTGACAATGCTTATGCGATAAGGGAGAAGTAACTCAGTCACATTCTTAGCAATGCTTTCCTGATGGAAAGGGAAATTGCCGGTGGTCAGAGGCTTGTTCAGGGCACTTGGTGTGCAGCTGAGTCCATGAGGGAGAGACTTTATTCTTCTGGCCAGAAGGGGCAGCTGGGCCTGGAGTTCTGCAGACGCTGACCGTACATGCCTGCTGGAGACCACGCACTGTGGAGCTGGTCTTCATACACGGTGCAACGTGGTCCACGGGATGGGATGTGTGTGTGTGTGTGTGTGTGTGTGTGTGTGTGTGTGAGATGTTCCGCATGGCAGGGCTCTGGGTTGTCCTGCCTTCAGACAAGCCCCAATTCAGAGGAAAACCCAAATGTGAGGCACAAGTAGAACCACTTCCCCAGAACCCCCTGCATTAAGGGACACTCCAGAAATCTCTGCCAGAGGTGAGAGTGTGTCTATGTGATTAATAGAAAGGAGACCCTTTCTGAAACTTGGGACTAGAGATAGAGGATAGAGGATAGAGAAACGAATAGTCTTTCTTATACATGGATAACTGTGTACCACCATACCTGATGATGGCTTTGGTCCAAAGATCCTACAATCCCAGAATATGAGAGATGGAAGATGTAATAGAAAATCTCACCCATGCCTTCATTTCACAGAGGAAGAATCCAGGCTTGGGGAGGTTAAGGAATAGGTCCAAGGTCACGCGGCTACGTAGGGTTCATGCTGTAACCTGTGTCTCTGTCTCACATATTGTAGAAATTTCCCCTTTACTCAGATCAAGAAATTTAGACAGAGAGGACCGACTGTTCTCTAAGACACCTCTGCTTAGCAGGGGCTGAGTCGGAACGGACTTGGGCTCTGGAACTTCCTGCCATGATCACTTTCTAAAACTCCAAGGTCACTTCCTCCCCACTTTTGAGTTTCACACCTTGCAAACAAATAACTCTCAGGAAAGTGATGCCCAAGCTTGCTTCTTCATTTTCATTGATTCCTGTGTCGCCAACATGGGGGCTGCCCTGAACCAGCCAGAGTCAGGAGGACAGGGGAGGGGGCCTTCAGTTTACCCCCTCCTCAAATGTTATCTGCCGAGAGGGACTTGCACTGCCACCATCTGGCCTGGGTGGGTGTCCCAGACACGGCAAGTGTGCGGTGAGAGGGATGGAAGCAGCGCAAATCCTCCCTTTGCCATTCTCTTGAAATAAGCGTGGCGTGAGGAGGCTTTCCAAGCAGCAGGAGTGGGGCTGCAAACAATAGAGTGCGGTGCAGCTGCACCCGGTAGAACTTTGGGGGAAAACACATATTATTTACCAGACAATAATAGATACCAGAGAATAATAATGATTATTAGAGTGTTTGGGATGGCAAACGCTGTAGTTAAGGTTCCAGAATGGCTCTCATTATAACCCCGTTTTCCTAGCCCCGTATGAAAGCCTTGAGATTTTCTCTAGGTAGGCTGATGCTGTCCATGTTTGGCCTTTGTCCAAAGGCGATTTCAATGTAAGGAAACTTATTTGAGAAATAGTCCTCTTTGGGGGGTTCATGATTACATTAAAGAAACAATTTACACCCTTGAAAAAGCAGTTGCAGTGTTCTTGAGTGAGGAATTCAAAATGGTGGTGTTTCTCAGTCACTGGAAGAAACCGTTAAACACTGTTTTTTTCCCTTTTCCTTTTTTAAAGAAGGATTCAGAGCTCCTCTCTGACTACAAGATTTGGTCACTCTTAGTCCCAAGCCCAGAGGTAGGGATGGTTTCTCTCCCTCCAAAGCAAGTTCCAGGCTGTGCTTCCTAAACAAAAGTAAATCCTGCTCAGAAGCAGCTGCAGTATGTCTTAGGATCCATTTGGGTCCATTTCCAAGGCCTCTTCCCAATCCTTTGTGACTTCTCATTTGTTGGTGGCTCTTGGTGTTTTTGTTTCTGTACCTCTTCTCACCATTATGTCTTAGAAAGAAAGAAGGAAAGGAAGGGAGGGAGGGAGGGAGGAAGGAAGGAAGGAAGGTAAAAAGAAAGAGAGAGAAAGAGGAAGGAAGGAGAGAAAGAGAGAAAGAACGAAGAGGAAGAAAAGAAAGAGATTAAAGTGAGCTCTTTATTCCAAGAGAAATACCCACATTTCCAAATCTGACCATGCCAAATGAAAAGGTTTCCATGACCTTGTAATTCCACTCCCATTGCATATTTGTGGTGTTTTGCATTTTCACTTTGGTTATTTAATATACATATTAAATGCACACAGATCTGGTGATTTAATGTGATTTGGGGAACTCAGGCATTTCCTGTCATGCACATTCAGATTTTCAAACCTTGTTTTTGGCTGATCATTATTATGGTTACCATTAACACCAGTATTTGGATAGCAGGGTTCAAAGCACAAGCTTGGACCTAGTCCTCCCAATGGGCATTTTGACCTCCTCACGCTTGTGCTAAATTCACGCTACAGACACTCTGAACACTCCAGTTCTCTTTGTGGCCTCTATTTCTTCGTCTATAAAATGCGGGAAACTGTGTATATTATCTCTGGGGTCCCTTCAAGTTCTACATTCTATCACCTGAAATTATTTGTTCACTGGTCTAGGAATAATCTCAACAGTTGTAAAGATGTTTACAAGTCCTCTCCCACCACCTCACGTTAGCCAAATTTTCCCATTCACATATCTGACATCCCCATTTATTGGCAGGAAAAAAAAGCGCACCGTTTTGGGACATGGGGGACAAGAGCTGTTTGATTCTCATTCATTTGACAAATGTGTGTTGAGCTGAATACATTTGTCCCCGGGTGCAGGGATTTGAGCAAAACAGACACAGCCCCAGACCTCAGGGACTTCACAGTTTAGTTGGACGACTTCTGAATGGCTGCTTCCTGGGGCTGATGGAGTGTCCTTAGGAGGTTTCAAGCCAAGGGACTGGTAGCAAATGAAATAAGCCAGTAAGGATAAGAGAGGCAGAGCCCAACAGTCCTATTCAGACCTTCTGCCCTGGGATCCCAGTCCTATGCTTGGTCTGGATGTGAAGCGATGTGAGTGGCTCACCTTTGTCAGGCAAGACCCACAGAGAGGGGCACTTCTTCCAGCTCAGTCGCCCCTGTAGGAAACCTCTGAAGAGTGGTCTCTGTGCCCCAGGAATTTTTCACGTGCTAAAAAGTCCATCTCATGGCCTCCCTCCTTTGCAGCAGACGCTAGGGCTGTTACACGGGGTACAGGCTTGAGGTCCGCAACACCAGGGTCCCCCGATGACCTTGCCTGGCTTTGGGATGCCCTTGGGCAACTCCAAAGACCTCCTGCCAGTTAAGCGTGCAGTAACGTGGAGAGTGAATGTTGCTGGGTTGCAAAGGATGCTGCTGCAGGCTTTGGGTGAGGGCGTGGTGCTCCATGCTCATTATGGTATTCCAAAAAGCGACTCGAGTTTCATTTCCTCACACAAAGCTGGCAGGGCTGATCCTGCGCAGAACCGTGAATGAAAGTCGTGTGGAAATCAGGCTGCGCCACCCCAGTGCTGGGGCCTTGTTGTAAGTCTGACCTGACAGCTGGAGAGTGTGCTGCTCTGACTCATGCCCGGGTTCTCCCCAGCCTGGGGGGTGGGGGGTAGTTTGGTCTAGTGGATTCTAACAAACCCCTCTTCCTCATTTTCTAGGAACGCTCACTCACAGGGTACCTTGCATGGAGAGAGGGCGCAGAGCAAACCATGTCTCGCCATCCAGTGACACCAGCTGGTCAGCTCACCACCCCCTCTGGCTAAAACTCAAGCAAATAAAGCCGCTTCCTGTCATTAAGCATCTCAGAGGAAGCAGCCCTCCCTCGGTGGCCTCTAGCCCAGAGAAGCCAGCACGTCTTGGACCCACCAAGCGGGCCCAGCCTTCCTGCTGCCACCATCTCTGCTTCTCCCCAGAGGAACTTAGGGATTTTGCCCCTGGTTTAAAAGAAAAAACAAAAACAAAAACAAAAAAAAACGACAAAACACCAACAAGCCACAAGGACCAATGTAGGTATTCTCCCTGCCTCATCTTCAAGGCTCATAGGGTGAGGCTGGGAGATGATACAGATTTGAAAACAAAAATCGTTTTTTAATCTTTTTAAAAACTGCTGTGGTTTTGCTGCTACACGAAGAATTGTGATTTGCATTGTACGGTTTTGGACCTATACTGTTCACGTTTTGACGGCGGAGAGGGATCATACTGGAGTCCCAATGCTTCAGATTCATCTCTGTCCTGCCTAGGATGCACTTTTAAATGAAGAGTTAAAATATTTTATTGGCTAATATACTTTTCTTGTTATTTTTACAAAGGCCACCTTTATCCTTTTTAATGCCATATTTTCAGTGTTACACTTTTATGGCTTTTAATTTTCGATCTGACAGATGTAAGAAGCAGCATGAATAGTTTATACTGTGGTTTTTCAGAGACTGAATGCCAAGAGAACTCGGTAAATGTTTATTCTTCTCAGCTTTCTCCTTAAATTCCCTTAAATAGCGCCCCATTTGGGAACAGAGCAAGAGTGTTGAACTGAAGACCAAAATGCCCTCAAGGTGTAAAATAATCCGAGGGGGAATATTTGCTGGGCGTCACGAAAGACTTGGATGAAATTTCAACCCTGATGGCTTTCGGTGATCCAGGAAGTCAGTGAAGCAATCTCTCCATACGCAGAGCCCTTTCATGATAATTAGAATGGTATGGACAAACCAATGAAAACAGGAGGGAAAGTGAGAAAGCTCACCCATGATTCTGTTTCACTGTTTGCTTTCTCCTGTCATGGTTAAGAGAAATGTGCAATTCGATCCTCAATCAGTGGGTGGAGGATAACAGGGTAGATTTTCTTGTGTGCACTTGTACAGTTGTAGCTGCGAGTCCAGAAGTCCTCTAGAGCATGTGTACTGGCACTGAGTTGGTGAGACAGTCGTAGAGTATCCCATTCTGATGAGTACAAAAAAAAAAAAAAAAAAAAAAAAAAAAAAAAAAAAAAAAAAAAAAAAAAAAAAAAAAAAAAAAAAAAAATCAAATCACCTTGTGATTCAGTGTATCTGTTTACTAACTCCAATAAAGCAATTGTTCCCTCTGGAGGGGTCCAGGTGCCCCCGCCCACAGGCCGCTGAGCCAGCAGCAGCGGGGCGGTGGGGTGTGGTGGGCAGGCGAGGCCAAGACAGAGTCACGCTGGCCTTGAAGCACCACGGGGCCGTGGATGCGGTGTACATACTGTATTTCTATATCCTCCTTTGTACAGAGTCACTTAACAAGTCAAGCTACTGTTTTACAGGTGCTCCTTATTTATTAGAGCTGTGAGAGCTTGGGGACACACCTGGCGAGCGAGCTCGCTTTTTAAAAATGAAATTGGGGAGCAAGGGAAGGGGGCGGGAGGGAGGGGAAGCTCGCAAGTCTGGGGAGAGATTTATAAAAGTGAACAAAAGGAAAACTTCCAGCAGCCGATTAAACCAACCAACCGACCCTAACACCTAACTTGTCCACGCAGGATGCAGAAGCCCCACCTCTGGGTGCCCCTTTCCCTGCGGGGCCCCCAGCATTTTCCTCTCTCCCTGACCAGTGTCCGATTCATCAAACAAAAATAAATCTCTAAGAAAGAAAAATGCACTTACATGTGCTTATTTTGCTTTTCTCATTATTATGGCTATTGTTGTTATTTTCCTTGTTACAGAAGGTGTTCATTTCTTTCCCCCAGGGAAATTTTTTTTTAAATAAAGCTAGTAAGTTTTAAAAGATGTTGAAATATCAGGGTGATGCTGGCCCTTCCCAACCTGCATCTCTGCAAACAAGAGCCCACCTGGCCTGTTCAATGGTCTGCTTCCCCACCGTGTCCATTGTTGACAACACACAGTGCGTGTGGAGTGGGCTTTGGGGCCTGTAGACTGGGGTGTCCCTTACCAAGTGCTCTCCAAGTCCTGATGTTTTTCAGCTCCAAGGGCTCTGGTCGAAGGCTCAGGAAGCACCATGCAGCAGAAGCAAACCTCCCCAGTGGACTCTGGTCCCGTTAGTACATCATTTCACTGTAGGTCGGGAGTGCTCCTGTGAACGAGAGGGGTCAATCTGGTTTTGCTTTGGTACCTGAATTAACATCAGAAAGTTTCTAAGATGGAAAGTACATTGATACCTAGTTCTAATCAATGAAGATCTAGCCTAATCTTCTTGTTCTACATGTGAAAAAAACTGAAGCCTAGAAAAGTGAATTGACCTGTCCAGAGTCCACACTGAGTTGGTTTAACTTGTCAGAAAACAAATGTTCATTAAAAAGTTAAGCACTGGGACTTCCCTGGTGGCACAGTGGTTAAGAATCTGCCTGCCAATTTAGAGGACACAGGTTCGAGCCCTGGTCTGGAACCATCCCACATGCAGCAGAGCAACTAAGCCCGTGTGCCACAACTACTGAGCCCCCGTGCCACAACTACTGAAGCCCGCGTGCCTAGAGCCCGTGCTCTGAAACAAGAGAAGCCACCGCAACGAGAAGCCTGCGCACCACAACGAAGACCCAACACAGCCAGAAAAAACCTAAATAAATAAATTTATATATATAAAAAAAAGGCACCATCAGCAATCTTCTCTATATAACCATTCTAGGAGTGGATTCTGGTGACCCAGTTTCTTTCTCTCGTGGAGCCCGAGTGATCTCGGAGGCTCCTGGTGTGGGGTTATGGTTATGAATCCATGGGAACTCCTCAGCCCCAGCCGAGGCCACGCAGGGGCGGGCACCCAGCTGGGGTTGTCTGGTGCAAAGTCTCTGATAGCGTTATTCAGCTGGACTTGGCCATAGACGCAATCGCCCAGGGTATTGATTTTGCTTTTGTCTGTAGTCCAAGATTGTCCAGCAAACATGTTGACCCTTCAGGAAACAAAAGGTCCCTTTGTTCCAACAAGAAAAGATTCCGTGGCATCTCATCAGACAGCACACCTTTTCCTCTTTCTCTTCCTTCTCTTAATCTCAGTGTTCCCTGAAATACAGAACCCTCTTGGGCTATCAAAACTGTATAGAGAGAAATAGAAATAATAACGTCAATAATTACGAGCACGTGCTGAGTACGTGTACATTAGCCTCACTTACTCACGGAAGGTCCTAATATCTCCCCTTTATTGCATGTGAAGAACGGAAAGCCAGTGAGTTTAGTAATAGCCCGAGATCACGCAGCCAGTGAGTTGCAGAATAGGATTCAAACCCAGGGGGGTTGGTGCCAGAGTCCAGGCTGCACATCCAATCTGCAGAAAAACTGTTGACATTTTCATGAATTGTCATTTTGTGGCCGTAATTCAGTTCTGTAAGTTTCTGGCAGTGATTCAGCTTTGTTCTAAAGTGGCCCTCATTTTGAACTAAGCCAGAGAGTTGAGTGTTCATGGTTACTGCCCTCCACGTCTTACTGGGTGTGTGGATGTGCTGAGGCCACTCTACTTTCTGAGAAATTAGGCAATGAATTCCCTGTTGGTTATCAAAGCCCCACTGAACACAAGGCCCCATGTGTGATGCTGAGGGGAGACCGGAAACGAACACAGCTCGCAGCCCCTACCCCGGTGGCTTACATGTAACGGGAAGATGGGGCTGTGGAAAAGAAGGACCACTTCTTGGTCTCAACAGGATCACTCTGTAGGTTTCCAGAGTTTATATGAATGCACATGTGGAGCCTGGATGCACAGCTTTGCAAAGCCACCCTCTTTTTGCAGGTGTTCCCTTGACACTGGAAGGGCAACTTGAGCTGCAAGCAGGCCTATAGGTGCCGGCCGGTTCTGCCCACAAGGCACAGACAAATGTCAGGGCTGGGGCCCGGGGGCGAAGGCACTCGAGACTCACACCTACGCCCTCCCCTCCTTGTCTCCCACAGCTCTTGGTTAAATGGACCGAGACCACTTCTCACAGGGTCCTTCCCACATCATCCGGGCCCCTCGAAGGCGGGCACCGTGGTCTTCCTAATTTTGCATCTTTGAAGAGCTGTTCTCCACTCTTGGAACAGAAAATGCTGGCTGAGTTGAGGTACTTTTCTCCTACCAGCCTGATGGGAGAAGAGGACAGGGAACCCCAGAAGCCAGAGCTGTCGTGTGGCAGACACAGGAAGGCTGTGTTCGGAGTTTCATTTTGTTTCTGGTGCTCAAGGGAGGAGGTGCCAGCAGCAGCCCCCGGTTCAGCACATCTTCAGACTGCTTTTGAAAACAAGGAGTAATACAAGGGGAGAAGACGCAGCACTGCCCTGGGGCTTCTGTGCTGTGCGGTGACTCCAGGCCATAAACGGTTACACCTTTTACCCTGAGAAGCCTTGGAGATTAGATCATTCCTTGACCCCCAGACACACATAGAGATGGAAAGTTAGTCTTCAGCACCCAGAAAGGACCTCTTATTCTATCTTCTCAACCGTGGATGGAATGAACAGTTGCCACCAGTGTATGGAGCTCTTCTCATGAGAGGAGGGGCCTCAGCTGGTTCACAATGAATTAGCTGCTTCCTCTGTGCACGGCCCCAGCTTTGCACACATCTGCTTACTTAATTCTCACAGCAGCCCTGTGAAGGAGGTGCTGGTATTACCACATCCCCACTTCACAGTCAGAAAAAACTGAGGCATGACGATGAAGGGGACTTCTGTCCACAAATAGAATCAGAACACAGCAGTGGGCTCCAGTGGCCACCCTCCCCATAGGTCATGCTAAGCATGACCTCACCAGGGCCCAGGACGCCTGGCGGTTCAGGGAGAGTTCGGGTCATTTACTTGGTGCCTAAACCATGAGTTGGAGACACCTTTGACCTTTATATTGTGTTTGGAAAGGAAAAAATAATCTACTTCTCTTGACGCCTGGTTTTGCACATCACCGGAAAAGGAACAGTCAATGATTCCGTAGGGAAAGTTTGAGGGAGATGGGAAGGGAGCCTGTGTCAACAGCTCAGAGGAGTGGAGAGAGAGGCAGGCTGGTCCTGTGTTAGATTCCTGGGGCAGGAAGAAAGGGGGCATGTGGGCCAGGGGCTGTTTTCCATTTCCCCTTATTCTGATTTGGGGAGCTGTAAGCTGGGCTTTCTCCTGTGGCACTTGTTTGGATGGGTGAAGGGGTGTCAAAGAAGAGCAGCAGGGGGGCTGCCAGGGCCACACCGGACTCTGTCCCTCTGCCCAGAGGGCAGGGGGCTACAGCCAAGCCTCACAGTCACTCTGGGCCTGGGCCACTGGATCCAGGGTCAACTAGCTGACCGAATGAATGGACAGAAATTTTGAAAGTCCCCACATGCCAGACACCACACCGGGCAGTCACACAGACAGTCTCAGGCAATTCTTATTAAACCACATGCTATACAGGCCATGCGATCCTCATTTCTGGATGAGGAAGGTACAGTCCGGGAAGATTAAGCGATCTGCTCAGGTCACTCAGCTAATAAGTCAGAGAGCCAAGATTTGGACCCTCAGTCCCCACATGCAATGCTCTTCGATGGCACCACAGCAGCACAAATACCAGTGTCAACTCAGGTCACAACTCAGTATGAATTTGAATCAGCCAATGGGACACGTGCCTGATGATGTCATTCCAGCCTGCTTCCAGATCTCTGGGAACAAATCACGTTCTCTTTCCTCACCCATTCCTCACCTGCAGGGCTGGGCCAAACCAGCAGATGTGAACCCCTCCAAGAGGGAATGCTAGCCTTAACGACATTTATCCAATGCGTACTAAATGCCATTTTGGTTGCATTATTTTATTTATGCCTCACAACAACCCTGTGGGGTGATTACTATGATTATTCCCATTTTATAGATGAGGAAGCCGAGCACACAGAGGCTCAGTAAGGGCAGAGCGTGCTCCCGCATCTGGGCATTCGGATACCTAGCCCTTCCCTCACCAGCACGCTCACGTTTCTGCTTCCCTCTTGTGGGTGCATGGATGCCTGAACGCATGAATGGAAGAGCATTTCATCGAGTACCTCGAGGGACACCAAATCTGACACTTTCACATGTGTCATCTCATCTTCTAGTGTGACTGGAGCATGAGCCCTGGAAGTGATGTGTGG